ACCAAGTTTATAACAAGCTTTTAAAATAGGGTGCATATGGCATGGCTTTAGACAGAGCAAATAAAACAAAAAGTACACTTACCAGCTAGCCAGCAAAGAAAAAAATACACTGCCTAACAATTTTGTTAGAAACAGGTTTTATTTGCACAACATTTGCATATACAGTCATGGCCGAAATTGTTGGCACCCTTGATATTTCTCCAGGAAATCATGTATTTCTCACGAAACGTATTGCATTAACACATGTTTTGCTATACACATGTTTATTCCCTTTGTGTGTATTGGGACAAAACAAAAAAAGGGAGGAAAGAAAGCAAATTCGACATAATGTCACACAAACCTCCAAAAATGGGCTGGACAAAAGTATTGGCACCCTTTCACAACTGCGGATAAATAAGAATGTTACAAGCATGTGATGCTCCTGTAAACTCACCTGGGGCAAGTAACAGGTGTGGGGCAATATAGAAATCACACCTGAAAGCAGATAAAAAGGAGAGACGTTCACTTAACCTTTGCATTGTGTGTCTGTCTGTGCCACACTAAGCATGGACAACAGAAAGAGGAGACGAGAACTGTCTGAGGACCTGAGAACCAAAATTGTGGCAAAATATCAACAATCTCAAGGTTACAAGTCCATCTCCAGAGAACTAGATTTGCCTTTGTCCACAGTGCGCAACATTATCGAGAAGTTTGCAACCATGGCACTGTAGCTAATCTCCCTGGTCGTGGACGGATGAGGAAAATTGATGAAAGATTGCAACGCAGAATAGTCCGGATGGTGGATAAGCAGCCCCAAACATGTTCCAAAGACATTCAAGCTGTCCTGCAGGCTCAGGGAGCATCAGTGTCAGCGCGAACTATCCGTCGACATTTAAATGAAATGAAACGCTATGGCAGGAGACCCAGGAGGACCCCACTGCTGACACAGAGACATAAAAAAGCAAGACTACAGTTTGCCAAAATGTACTTGAGTAAGCCAAAAGCCTTCTGGGAAAACGTTCTTGTGGACAGATGAGACCAAGATAGAGCTTTTCGGTAAAGCACATCATTCTACTGTTTACCGAAAACGGAATGAGGCCTACAAAGAACAAAACACAGTACCTACGGTAAAATATGGTGGAGGTTCAATGATGTTTTGGGGTTGTTTTGCTGCCTCTGGCACTGGGTGCCTTGACTGTGTGCAAGGCATCATGAAATCTGAGGATTACCAAAGGATTTTGGGTCGCACTGTAGGGCCCAGTGTCAGAAAGCTGGGTTTGCGTCCAAGATCCTGGGTCTTCCAGCAGGACAATGACCCCAAACATACGTCAAAAAGCACTCAGAAATGGATGGCAAAGAAGCGCTGGAGAGTTCTGAAGTGGCCAGCAATGAGCCCAGATCTAAATCCCATTGAACACCTGTGGAGAGATCTTAAAATTGCTGTTGGGAAAAGGTGTCCTTCCAATAAGAGAGACCTGGAGCTGTTTGCAAAGGAAGAGTGGTCCAAAATTCCGGGTGAGAGGTGTCAGAAGCTTATGATGGTTATAGGAAGCGACTGATTTCAGTTATGTTTTCCAAAGGGTGTGCAACCAAATATTAAGTTAAGGGTGCCAATACTTTTGTCCAGCCCATTTTTGGGGTTTTGTGTGACATTATGTCATATTTGCTTTTCTGCCTCTGTTTTATATTTGTTCCAATACATACAAAGGGAATAAACATGTGTATAGCAAAACATGTGTTAATGCAATACCTTTTTTGTGTGAAATACTTGATTTTCAGGAAAAATATCAAGGGTGCCAACAATTTCGGCCATGACTGTATATGTGGAAGCTTTGTCAAGGCCTCTCTGTGTAAGCCGTGTACCGGGGTGGGCTCCCCAGGATACAGTGAAGTCACAAACGAGGAAAGCAACCTCAACACCAGCTTTTGCCACATCAGAATTTTACTTAGATGTGGCAAATAAACACAACCACAAATGCTGGAAACATACAATAAATTTACATACACCCAGCCCAAAGGCTGAGACCCTTGTGCTGCACAGCATGGCGCCTTCTGATGGATGAAGGTAGAAAGTGAAGTAATTTACCTACTGGCGGGCACAATTAAGCTGCCACAACTTACCTGTTATTACCCTAAAAGAGCAAGAATCAGTGTAGGGGTGTATGGTATGGGCTAGCCTGCGGTGCCGCCGCACAACAACTTACAATCTTACACAAATCTACAGTATTCCCTCTCCCATAACTGGTCCTGTAGCACGTGCCAGAGTATTCCTACTGAGCAAAACACCAGTCTGGCTTGAGTTTGTAGGATTTTATCAGCTCTCCAATGTGAAATGTCACTTTAAGTTGTGGAGTCCTTCCAATGATCAGTAACAACACTTGTGGCCTGACACAAACAGAGACCCTAACTAACTAACTATAGGCCTGGACTCAGTCTCAAGGCGCCAACACTGAAATGAGGTGCGTGCATGATCTTACTGGACCCCGGGTCTGCTTTGTATCCCCTGGTGACTCTGAACAGAACAAATGTCTCTCCAACAAGCATGCGGTCTCGCCGTATATTGTTGCTTAGTTCCTCTGCTCTCATCAGCATTCCTGGCAGCAATCTCATCGGCATTCCTGGCAGCAATCTCATCAGCTTCCTGGCAGCAATCTCATGAGCTTCACTTAGCTGCAGCTCTGGTTACGGAGGGATGCTCTCACACTTGGATGTTATCAGATTCTCAGCTCACACGGCTCCCCTCATTCACCATTCTCCAGAACATGGCTGCTGTTACTTCTTCCTGTTCCCTCTCAACTCTGTGTGTAAACTCCACCTCTTCATGAATATAGAAATATCTATGCAGTCTGAGGTTGTGTTAGAAAAACAGTGACTTCTTGTGGCTAAACTGCAGAATGTCAGTCAAAACATTTAATTTACTCCACACAAGCAGTATTCAAACAATGAAAGCTGTTTCCCCATCTCACATCTGTATAGTACAGTCCTAGCTCTGGTCTATTATAGCCTCCATGTTGGAGCGAGATTAGTAACTGATGTTTTAAGGGCAGGTGTGTCTGGAGGTAGATCATTCCTTCTTAAAGGTGCAGGGACACATTAGAGGCTGAGCAGAGCACAGTGGCAAATGAAGGCATCCAGCGTGTCCATATGCCAATTCCAGTAAGCTAAACAAAAACGGTAACTGCTCAAATATATAGCTAGCTTTTAGTGTATGGTGCACTTAGTTTTTGTTTAATTTGCTCTGTGAAAAAAAAGTCCTACTATTTCCAGGCACACTTGCCAAAAAAAAAACAAATTACACTATCTGACAATTTGCACTTAAACAGGTTTTAGTTGCACAACATTTGCAAATATGTTTAGAAATTGCACTGCCTCATCAAGATCCCTCTGTATAGGGTGGTCCTAGCCTTTAAGAGTCATGTTAGTGAATATATAGAAATGGATAAATTAAGGGCAGGTATGTCTTGAGGTAGCCAATTCTTCTTTAAAGGCTCACCAAATGACAACCAAAGGAGTCCAATATGTCTCCATGAGAATTCCAGCAAATTAAAAAAAATGGCAATCACCCTAATTTTTAACTAACTTTAGGGTAAGTTGCACATGGAAGGGCTTTGAAAAACAAAATGTATTACCCAGCACCAGGGCTTTTTTTCTCAGAGAATAGGTGCAGCTACTCCCCCCTTCTGAGTATCCCCACCAGCAAGCATGACCCTTTGCAGCCAGCAATAACAGACCCTCCAGCAACAATAGACTCTCCATCAGCAACAATGGATCTCCACCAGGAACACTAGACCCCCAACAAAAATAAATCCACCAGCAACAATAGATCTCCCTATCAACAATACACCCCCAGCACCAGTAGATCCCCCAGCAACAAGAGATCCCATACAGCAACAATAAAATCCACCAATCAACAATAGATCCCCCAGCAGCAATTGCCCCCCCCCAAAAAAAATTACCCCACAGCAACACTAGACCCCTATGTAATAATACACTAGATCTCCCAGGAGCCAGCATTAACAGACCCTCCAGCAGTCAGCTACAATAGACCGCTCCCTCAACAGTAGACCCCTAACTACTGACCCCCTAGCAACATAAGATTCCTCCAACAAAAATAGATCCCCCACCAGCAATAGTAGACTTATCCAGCAGCAGATGATCCCCCTGTTACAATAGATCCCCCTGTAGCCAGCATCAATAAAACCTCCAGCACCCCATTCAGTGCTGGAGGTGCTGGAACTGCATTCCCTCACGTTCCAGCTGAAAAAAAGCCCTGCCCAGGACATTTACTAACACCCCTCTGTATAGTGCGCCACTAACTCGAATTTATGAGAGCCTACATATCGGAGCATATATACTGTAGCAGTGCATAAGGATTTAAAGGGCTTGTTTTTGTTCTTCCCTGAAACTCTACATGTTTAGTGTTCCTATCCGACACTCGTCCTTTGTTTTAATACCCTTCCCCAGCTTAACTTCCCTTTTTGTGTACTCTTTCTGTTAACTTCATATGCCTACTGTACTGCCTATACATTTTCTAATTTACTACAGTTGTATTATTTAGAATGTGTTTAGGCTGACTGGTCCACTTTTGGTTGAAAACTACACAGGTTCACTACAACAAATAGGGAACAAATAGCATTCTGATCAATGATATACCCTATAACAGTGATGGCGAACCTATGGCACGCGTGCCAGAGCTGGCACGCAGAGCCATCTCAGTGGGCACGCCAGGAAGAAGAGGATGATGAGCGCGCATGGACCGGCCATCCAGATCTCGTCCACACTGGATCCCCATCAAACTACATTTCCCACATGTCTCTGGGGCCAGGGTGGGCGTGGACGAGAGGAAACGGCTCCAATGCGGCTCTGGCACCAGGGGTGATGTACCCGGGGATGGGCGCGGAAGAGAGGAAGAGGCTCCCACACTGCTCCCACACTGCTCCGGGGCCAGGGGCAACGTGTTCAGCGTGGATGGGAATGAGCTGCTGCTGGGTTGGAAGCCACACCGACGCTGCCAGAGGTGAGATTGCTTGCAGTGTCATCCATCAGTGCCCAGCAGTGTCGCCTGTCAGTGCCCAGCAGTGTCGCCCATCAGTGCTGCCCATCAGTGCCATCCATCAATGATGCCCAGCAGTGCCATCCATCAGTGCCCAGCAGTGTCGCCTGTCAGTGCTGCCCAGCAGTGCCACCTGTCAGTGCTGCCCAGCAGTGCCACATGTCAGTGCCCAGCAGTATCGCCCATCAGTGCCACCCATCAATGATGCCCAGCAGTGCCATCCATCAGTGCCCAGCAGTGTCACCCATCAGTGCCCAGCAGTGTCGCCTGTCAGTGCTGCCCAGCAGTGCCACCTGTCAGTGCTGCCCAGCAGTGCCACCTGTCAGTGCCCAGCAGTGTCGCCCATCAGTGCTGCTCATCAGTGCCACCCATCAATGATGCCCAGCAGTGTCATCCATCAGTGCCCAGCAGTGTCACCCATCAGTGCCCAGCAGTCGCCTGTCAGCGCTGCCCAGCAGTGCCACCTGTCAGTGCTGCCCAGCAGTGCCACCTGTCAGTGCCCAGCAGTGTCGCCCATCAGTGCTGCCCATCAGTGCCACCCAATGATGCCCAGCAGTGCCACCGATCAGTGCCGTCTGTCAGTGCGTCCAGGTAGGCAAGTGGTTAATTGCAGTGTTGGCACTTTGAAATAAAAAAGTTGGTTTGTGTTGCAGTTTTGGGCACTCGGGCTCAAAAAGGTTCGCCATCACTGCCCTATAACAATGTCCTGATATCTGCAATACGTCATACCAGGGTCTGGCATTTTAGGGTGTCATCTGATCAATTTTCAGATATATCCCATATTTTGTAGACTCTATAACTTTCACACAAACTAAATAATATACACTGTTTTGGGTTATTTGCAACCAAAAATTTAGCAGAATACATTTTGGCCTAAATTTATGATGAAATTTGTGTTTTACACTTTTTTACTTGATATGTTTTATAGCAGAAAGTAAAAAATATTGTTTCTTTTCAAAATTGTCTGTCTTTTTTTGTTTATAGCGCAAAAAATCAAAAAAGCACAGGCAATCAAATACCACCAAAAGAAAGCTCTATTTGTGGGAAAAAAGGACAAAAATTTAATTTGGGTGCAGCGTTGCATGACCGCGCAACTGTCAGTTAAAGTAACGCAGAGCTGTATTGCAAAAATTGGACTGGACAGGAAGGGGGGTAAATCCTCTGGAGGACATGTGGTTACATTTATTGCCATCACCATGGGGCCGGCAATTCCCATATGTGATAGCATAGTGCAGGTGACTGGAGAAATCAGGGGTATTTTAGACCCCTAAAGTCACCTCTGCACTCTGTTAAAGCTGATTGAGCACATACTGTGCTTGATTAGCTATTTCCCAGCCAGAATGGCCAAGGTTTGAAGGTACTGGACCCAGAAGTGCTGAGTGTTTCCACGTTCATACTACCCAGGAGAGATCAGTGAACAAAATGTTCATCTCCCATTGCTTCCTGACTTCCATAATGGAGGTCCAGAAGTGACAGATGAGCCTGAGGAACATGGCCAGGGGTCAGATGGGGTTGGTGCAGTTTCCTCAGCATGTATAAATCACTTCTAAAAGAAAGTTGGCAGTTGGGAAAAAGTGTAAGCAAATTCCTGGCTGCTATGGCCATAATAGTTATGGTGTCAGTATAAGAAGGGCCTATTCTATCCAATACTAAAACAAGTCTTAGCTTCAGATATTATTTAAATGTTAGGATAGTGGGTGAAGCCATTTAAATTATTCCGTTTTTGCCCCTGGGCCAACTATGCATTCAGAAATTTTGTGCATCCTTGTATGCGTAAACACGGCCCTCCATGGGCATACACTTTAGTATACCCCTTGTTAACAAGGCCTTAGTAGGAATTTAGCTGGAATTTTGTAAGTTGTGTGTTTGTGTGCATATAAGGATGTTTAGTTTTTTTTTGTGAAAATAGTGATTTGATAAACATTTGCTCAACTATTGTGGGGCCTAAAAACATAAGTAGCGCCTTCTTTGTATTCTCCAAGTTCTATGCTTTCAGAAAATGTATTGTTTGGGAGGTAATTTACAGATGCTAAAAGCTGTAAGTGAAAAATTAAAACCTCCAGGTTTTTAGAGAAATTTGGTTATGTCAAGTTTTGTGTACTGTACTTTTGATTTTCAACATTTTGAAAAAAGGCACAATTTAAAATTTTCAAATATTTGTTAATTATTAACTCAATACAGATGTTGCTTTTATATTTGTAGGTATTTAGCAGGAATTTAGTAAAATGTGTTGTGTTTGTATCTGTTCATAATGATTTTAGTGTATTTTTAGTGAAAGGTTTGTTTTGATAAATATTTGCGCAAATATCACAGGTACTTAGAAATCAGCAAGCACCTTCTTTTTATTTTACTGACCTTGTGCCTTCACAAAATGTATGATTTGGGGTTTTTTTTGTAAGCTATGAAATCTGTAAGGGAAAAATAAGAATCAATAGAAAAATTGCAAAAATGATCTGGCCACATGAGTTTAAAAGTGGAGAGCAGGCCACATGAGTTTAAAAGTGGAGAGCAGGGTCTGGCAGCAAAAGGGTTAAACAATGTAACTATTGTTTCCTTACAACTGAAACACAGGTATACGTTAATTGTTTTACTTGTGTCAGTAATCTGGAAGGAGGGAGGAAGGAGATGTTGGTCCATTTTACTGCTGAACCTATTTTCTACAAATCAGTCGGTACTCGGTATGTTTCCTGCCCTCCATAGCAAAAATGGCCATTTCAAGAGGTAGCACTGTCTGTGTGCCTCAATGACACTGATTTTGGCAAAAGAGCAGGCTTAGCATCGTTTCCTGCCCAGTCTGTGTGCCTGTCATACAGGTAGGTGTAATTGGCCAGCAGTGCTGTGCTCAGTGATGCTGAAACTATATTTTTAACATTACTGCAGAGGCTCAGCCACTACATTTGCCTGTGTGAAAGGCACAGCAGCAGGGCTGGAGCTTAGAAATGCTAAGCCTGTAGTTTCACCAGGCTCAGCAGTACTGAACTGTACTTAGAACAGAGGGTTCATTATTTCCACTCCAGTCTCAGTGTTGCCCCTATACCATGCCTCCATGTGTGTCATCTTAAAATTCAAAGATTTAAATCCTGAAATTCTGAGTATAATGTAAATAATGCATTAGTAGCTTTTTCCATTAGTGGTAAAAAAAAAACATCAACATGATTAGTAAACCCACTAATGGGATTCATTTACTAAAGGCAAATAGACTTTTATTTTGCAAGGGGATTTTCCCCAGTACTTAGTAAGTGTGATAAAAATTAACTTTTACAAAGAATACTCAATCATGTGTAAGGAAAAAAAAACAAAGCAGCATTATTGCCTGCACATTATTAGATGATGAAAGTCAGCAGAGCTTCACAACATTCACTAAGCTTTGGGCAAAATTCCCATGCAAACGGCAACTGCCCATGCAAAGTGAGCAGCCTATTTGCCTTTAATAAATTGACCCCATGGGCTCAGAATTTCTAGTAAAAGTCATGTCTGGTCTTTTCTTCAATTTACCATGTCTTTGTATTAGCACTTTATTGTGATAGTCAGTTTCAGTATCCAATAGGGAGGTTCTGGAGGTAGGATGAGTAGGAAGCAAGCTTGACTTTTTTTTTTAGAAAAACCATGGCTGTGACAATTTTACTTCAAAATTATGTCAATAGCATTGCTGAGATGGTTAAATATAAAAAAAAATTAGATGAAAGTTCTGGTCCAGGCTTCCTTCAGGGCTGGTTATTGGACCAAAAGCCTAGGCATCTGGTCATGTGTTCTCTGTTTAGGGTAAGGATCATAATTCAGTTTGGATAATCTTCCCTTTGGCAGAAAAAAAGATTACAAAATGTGTATAGATATAGAGCACTAGAGAGAGTCTAGAGCAGTGGTCTCCAAACCGGATGTGGTCCTTTGAATGCTTTTTTCTGGCCATTGGAACACTATTTCATCCACTGATACCAACAATGAGGCATAATTCCCCCCACTGACACCAAAATAAGGGTCACAATTCCTTCCAATGACACAATGATGGGGCACATTTCCTCCCAATGACACCAAAATGGGGCACAATTCCTCCTAATGACAACAACGAGGGGGCACAATTCCTCCCGATGACAACAACTATGGGGCACAATTCCTCTCAATAACACCAACGATGGGGCACAGTTTCTCCTACTGATGCAAAAAATGGGTCACAATTCTTCCCACTGACACCAAAGATGGAGCATTGTCTATTCTCACTGACGTGGGGACATTTTCTACTCCCAATGCTCACAGTTCAGCCCCCCTAAAGTCTGAAGGACTGTAAACTGGCCCTTTGTTTAGAAAGTTTGGAGACCCCTGGTCTAGAGCCACATTTTCTCCTGGAAGTGTATACATTTCATATTTTCTGTTACTTTTTATCTATCTATCAATCATCGATCTCATCATTAAAAAACACTGCAGGTATAAAGTGCAGGCATCTAGAGCAGCCTATAAATCAGTCAGTTTTTTTTTTTCATTTGAACAGCCACTTCCACACTTCCTGCTGTGTCTTGGTATTCTGATAGTGGAGAGACTTCACCTAAATTGAAATTCAGCTGGTCTCTGCTGAACTGCCCACATTTTGATCCACATATACACAGCTTGACACCTTGCATTTATGGCTCATTCCCAGGCTATTTTAAATGAAAAGCTCAGCACTTCCAGGCAGTGTCAGAGCTTGCTACTTTATCACCCCCCCCCCCCCTATTGTCCCAACACTGTAATAGGTTGCCCCATTGTTTAAGGGGAATGTGTAGGAGGTTGTAAGGGTTAATCAAGCTGCTCCACTATCAGGAAATGCTGAACCTTTGCAATTACCTTCAGCAGCTTAGGTACAGACAAATTCATTCTGAAGGCAGACACTACTAGGTACCTGCAATCCATAAGGCTGCAGGGTTTTTTATGACAAGATTCTTTTTAACTCTGAGCAAACAATTAGTCAGGTTGCTGTAGAATGCAAATTATCTGTAGAAGAAAATATAAATTTATACAAACAATCTTGTAACCCTATTTTTCTAGAAAAAATATTAAACTTCCTGTTAAATATAATAATGTGTCTCTCACTGTGCTTTCATGCAGCTATAACTAAGTGTGGCACAATAAGTCAATCAACAATGCTGCAGGAACATATTAAGCCTGTAGTGATTTATTAAGTTATGGTAATCAGGGTGCATTGAAGCAAAAGATTAAATACTCTCTAGATTTTCAGATTAGTAGAAAAAATGTTCTTCTGTAATGACACATGCTGGTACTAACCTAGACCAGCATAAGATACAAAATACATTTATAAATTGTTAAAAGTGAACTGACAAGGAAACATGTAAATTCTGTTAATATGCCAAA